CTGTGTCACAGAATGGTTCAGTGGATGTAAATTTGTTCACTACAGGAGAATTAAGAAATGCATCCCTAAACTCATACCAGCTAAAATGAACACTCACTGTACTTGTGAAAAAGACATCCTTGCACTTCAACTGTTGAAAGACAATTGATGGACTGTGCAAACAGGTTACATGACAAGACCTGCGCAGGCTCTTGTATAGTCATAGCGTTATGCATGTTTGTTAATATAATTAAATTATAGCCATAAAAAATATTTTAATATGGGTTACATGACTTTTGAATTGCCCTGTACAAGATGGGAATGTCTTGACTAACTGAGGAATATTATTAGCTTCTGAAGAGAGCTTTGTTCCACTCAGTTACTCCAGTATAAGACTGTTTATTACCACATTCACAAAATCCAGCCAATGGCCCATCCCTATCCTGAGCCAGATGAATGCAGTCCACACTTTCCCATTCTATTTCTTTAAGATCCATTTAAATGTTATCTTCCCACCTATGCCTGGGTCTTACAAAAAGTATCTTCCTTTAAGGTTTCCCAATGAACATTTTGGATGCATTTTTACCTCTCTCATTCATGCTACATATCTCATCCATTTTTGAACCCCCAAAATAAATTGGAAATTTCCCAGAAAGAAAAGAAAGATTCCATCCATAAATTTCATGGAAATTATAAGCAAATTACAGCTGATGCTTTAACACCATATTTTCAATTCAAATACACTTAAAATAAAAATCCAGATTGAAAATGAGACTGAACTCACCTTCTCTGCAGCTTCAGGATTGTTTGGATTTTTATCGGGATGATATTTCAGAGCCAATTTCCGGTACGTCTTTTTCACATCATCTGCAGTAGCAGTTTTGGGAAGATCCAAGATCTGATACAGTGTGTCACCAGATGTGCTAAAAAAGTTACACAATTTTCCAGTCATTCTAATATTAAAAAAGTCACAACTATTTCCACCTCTCATCTCCAGATGTGTTGAGCATACTGACAAGACGTAAAACTAAACCAACAAAACATTTCTGGTACAGGGCATGTTTTCATTAGACAATCCATAAAATAACCACCTTAACCTTCCTTCTTAAAATCTCCTGAAATTATCTAAATAATTACCTTTCATTTTAATCTTACTTTCTATCCTAAGGAAAGTGCTACTTTTAAGAACTGATAAAAATTATGTAACTTGCAGCAGTCAATTTCTTATTACCTTTGGCCAAAATCACAGTTCAGCACCAATTGTTTTTTAGAAACTGACTGCTTACTGCCTCCATCATCAGTATCATCACTGCCCTGATGACAGTGGCAATAAGCACCTCTGAAATACTGGCCAATTTTTACAAGACTATATGACATCATCCTCAACAGATATAAACATTATAATGACATGTATGATCCTACTAAATAAAATAGTATGATTTTATGGGTACAGAACTGCTGTAATTAACCTTGGTAATTTATTTATGTATGGCATATTTAATTATTCTGCCAATAGCTTGGACTATACAGTGTCAAATTATAAGATGATTAATAAACTGGGCATGTATGAAAGGAAGCAGTCACTGGCCTAATTTAAGGTTCTATTCTGGCACTTGCCCAGAGGGACTGAAGAGGATTATCCATGACAAAAAACTTTAGTCAGGATAGCAGTCTCCAGGCTAAGATTTGAAGCCACAGCCTCCCAAACACAAAGCTGCAACATTCAGTTCCAGGATGTTGAAGAGAAAAACCACTGAATATGCTACATATGAGGGCAGGTGGTAAAATATTGTCATACTAGATACAGAGAGAATTTAAGATCATATTTTCTGCATGAGATCAGGTACAATCAATTCTTTATTCTGCTCATTACTGATGAGTCATTATCAAGCAAAGTATTAGGCCACATGTTGATCCATTCCAGCATAATCTTTATTAAGATATATATAGAGTAATAAGATAATATAAATGGTTGCCTTCTGGCTGTAGTGCCATGCAGTCTGGCAGACACTAACATTTTGGAGGTATCTGCTGCCTCCATCATCATTACCCTAATAATGGAGGTAGCAAGCACCTTTAAAATGTCAGTAAACTACCAGACAATACTGTGCTACAATCCAAAATTATGCCATCTTCATACATGCTGCCATGAGAACCTCAAATCCTAATAAGATTATGTTTATAGCTGTTCGTATTATATGCATAAATTATTACAATTATTGCCACAATAATGGTGTCAAGGGATTTTCTAACTTATGGGACAATGTTTATGTTTGTGTGTGTATTATGCATTTTATTATTACTGTTGCCATGGTTAGACTTTCAGCCTCTTGTGAAATTTCTGGTTCTTCTAGGTTTCTGCATCATGTAGTCAGGTATAAGTTTACTAGTGTTTGAGAGACGGTTCCTGCCTCCATCACATACAAACAAGACAACAGTGTTGGCTTTCTGTAACATGTGTGAGGTTAGTTTTAATCCCTTAACTGGCTCAGTGGCCTCTTACTACTCTCTAATACAATCTGTCTATGAGGGAATGTCCTACCAGTTGATCGCGCATGCCGTATATACTGGACCTGAAACGGATATATTCTTGAACTTTTGGTAAAAAAAAACCAATATTTTAACATTTGGATACCATACGTAAGTGGTTCAAGATGCATTGCGTTTATTTGAAACTACATATTCAAACATAGTTCCATATAGCATATACGGATAATGAATATTTATTATACAACATAAATACACTTTCTGTGATAATGACGATCAAAATTTCAGCAGAAAATAAGCCCCGGTTGCCCTACATAGTAACATGAACTTTTCACTTACGACAATTTCCGTCTATCCATTGTAATTGGGAGCACCAGCCAACGGTTAGTACAAACGGGAGATTACTCTATAGCACGAAAAAGTATTTATACTATTTCGCTACAAGAAATCCATTTAATTTCCCTTGTCCAGAATACAACAAACCAAACAGCTACTAACAACCCCTTCCTCTTCAGCTGACACGATATTAACGTCATCGACTCGAGACTGCGCCAACATTCATTGGCGCATGCACAGCCTACTTTATCGGTTCAGAGGGCTTGCATGGAAAATTCATTACTTTTTTCACATCTGGACTAAGCGCCCAGAACAAAAGTTACAGTGGAACCACGGTTCCGGAGAATTTGACGTAAATACGTCTCTGTATTTAAATTATATTTACGTCTCTGTAATGTAATTTAATGTAAAGTAAAGTAATGTCATCCATCTTGTTACGAAAGCGGATTGTTGACGGCAGTAATGTAACACAACAATGCCGAGTAAACAGATGACGAAGGTTTCCGTCTTCTGGGTTATTGCGCTGTTTCACATTTCAGTTATTTTTATTAACCCTTGCCCAAAAATAGGAAAATAAACATGTAAAAATAAAGAAGTTTGCAATCTGTATCTGACCGCCACGGTGGTCTAGCGGTTAGAACGCTGGCCTTGTAATCCTGGGGTCTTGGGTTCGATTCCCGGCGGTGCCCGAATTTATAACTTGTGTTGGGCAAGGCCGTGGTCTAGGCAACACGGAGTTTTCCTCCGTGGCATCCCAACAATTACTCCATTCACACACAGAAGAAGGCAATGGCAAACCACTTCTGGATCATCTGCCAAGAACGTATATGAACAGGTCCCAGTCCGAGAAAAGGATGGAAAGATCCTGTTCATATGGACCTGTCCTCAGACAGAACACTAAATAATAATAATCTGTATCTACCCAGTGTTGGACAGAACAGCTCAACATCACCAGAGCCTGCTGGCCAATGATTGAATTTATATGACCATCAGACCACAGTCGTTTTGACTTTGTCTTCATCACACTATTGCAGTGCATAAGGGGCATAAGTAAACTTATATGTAGCATTAATTAACATTGCACCCTGTAATATTAGGATGTGTTTATGACAGTAAATAAGGCAACAAAGCGGTATTTAAGTACTGCCATAATTTTCCTCCACAAGTGGCCTATATATGCATTCATTTGTTCATAATGTCATCATGACATCTGAAATACAAGTTCTTATACTGATTACTGTTAAACAATAATATTGTTTCATATAACATTAGAATTTGAACCACAGGTAATGTGCGACTCCTTCCCTGAAGACGGCTGTCTTTTGGGTTGTAGTGCCAAGTCATCTGGTAGAAGTTTACTAATGTTTCAAAGGTCTTTACTGGACCTTTGAAACATTGGTCTGAGTCTTACTAATGATGATGTTCTTTGTTTTTCCACCATTAAAAATGCTGTGAAAACCTCAAATCTCACCAAAGTCTTTTTGATTTGCATCACAGCATCATCTCCTAAACACCTGTATGGAAAGTTTTAGTAAAGATTCATGCATTATCATAATGCTATAACTACTTTTATAAACAAGAAAAACACTTGCCCATTAAAGAAGTGAGGCTGAGTAGATCAAAGAGTCAGTTTGGATACTGTAATAAAGAGGTTAATTCCCAAAATCTCTAACTACATGGAGTAGAGTCCTTCTTGAGAAGCTGATTTTGTTCTCAAATACTCTTTCTTCCCTTCACATGACAAATAACTTTTCACATCCGCACAAAAAACATGTTAAATTAATTGTAATATTGTTTTATTTTAATTCCCAAAACCTGTAAGTGTTTAAATCTTGTCCCTTGCCACAATAAATCTTTTTTGGGTTTTATTTATTTATGGTGGACCTAATAATATTGTACATTTTTTATCAATATATTTCTGTAGAAAATGTCATAATCCCACATTTAACAGTGCTGATTCTGATTCAATACACTTCTGTGAAAAATTTCATATTCACACTTGTAGACTTAGGTTATTAGTTTATTATTATGCATAATTATGTATGCAGTGTGCACTGTCTTCTTGTCCATTCAGATTATCTGAACAAAAACTGCACATTTTCAGAAATCTATGATCATACAAGACTTAACCTTAAATTCAGATTTTCTTTTTCAAGACAGGCATGCACATATATGGAACACAGACTTGGCAGTGTACTATCACAATATGTTTACAGATACAAGCATTATTTAGGTTTTGCATAACAGGCAGCACTGAAGTAAAAATGTCTGTTCTGAAAGTTTGTTTTAAAATGCACAAGTGTCTAATCATACTGAATCACTGAGATGCAAATTAGTATACTTATAGATGACTACTTCTTCCCCTATTCTGCTATTTCCAAGTTTATAATTTAATTTCAGTCAATCTCTCCATAAATCTCACAGAAACAAATTTAAAAGATGACCAAATGGCAGGAGACTTGAAGCATAAAATATAACACACACCTTTCTTTAATTCTAATGTTTCCTTCACAGTATATTTCTATTATGGTGAATCTTCTGTCATTTTAAATTGAATGTCAATGTTATACTTGGGCTGTAAACATTTTTGTCATATATGTGTTTCTTGTGCCACTTTTTTTTTCAGTGATATGTTTCACTGACCTTTGTTCTGACAATAAATTGTATGAGATAATGTACCGGACCCTCCAATGTGTGAGCTTTTCAGAAATGTCACGCATGTTATGTTGAGCAATGCCTCCATGATTGTATTCTGTTATAAAATCACATCATTACAAGAGTGACCATCACAAACGTAACATCGTTACTACGAACACACGTCTGCTTCCAGCTTGAGATATAAGAAAAAAGTCTGAGTGGGTATGTTTGGACTATTTTGATACAACAATTTAGTTGCATGGCATATTTAGTTTTGAGATGAAGGTTCATAATTTCTAGTTGTTAAGTTAAACCACACCACGTACTGAGGTTATATCATTTGAGTAAATTATAATTATGAATAGTAAACTTATAAGGCTGAGACAGAAGGGTTTCTGGCATATTGAAAAAGCTATATATGTGTTGAATGCAAAACTGTGGCAGAGAAATCTCTAGGGAAGGGCCAATTTTGAGACTAATACAAACATGGAAAATCATAACAAAAAGCAGATGCCATAATGTCACAGACTTTTAACTAGTTAGGTTGATTAGTTGGTGCTTGCCACAAACCTGTTATGCTTGGTTTTGATGTCATCTGAAGTTATTCATTAGTAGGACCAAAAGTATATCACATTATTTGGAGACAATATTCTCATACCATGAAATTACAATAAAGGTGATAATGTTAATAACTGAGGCCAGTATTTATGATGGAAACTAAAGCTTTCATAATGTGTTAAAAATTCAACACAACAATCCCTACTTAAGCCACCTAATATATTTTTAAACATGAGAGATTCACTGTTACATTGATGAGAACACCAAAAGTGAAAACCTTCTTTTGGAATAACTCCAACACATTCAAGTAAGAACTTTGCTCTAAAAAGTATTTATATCTTTTATAATACAAGGTCAAAGAACATGACTTATCAAGTGCATTTGTGTACATTTATCATAAACAATGATCAGACAGTTTTGATGTGTTAGTATGTCAAAACTACATTTCTGCACTACTTTAACAGTGTCCTAAATGTTCTTGTTGATTACCATAGTCTACATAACAGTAAAACTAGTCTCCTCCCACCTTACGCCTTGATCAGCAGAGTAAATTTTGTAAAATTAAAAGTATGCATGGGTGTGGTGAAAAATGAAATTTTAGCTACAAGACATGAAGATTCAGGTGTACATGAGTACATGAAAGGATAATATTAAAACTGTTATTAAAGAAATATAGTATGGATTGATTCACTTAGCTCATGGAAGTGTCCAGTGAAAGATTCTTCTAAACATGGCAATCAGGTCAGGTAAAGGAATTTCTTTATGGGATGATGAACTATCAGCTTCTCAAGAAGTATGATCCATGGAATTTGTCAATGATACTCATACAATCATATTATCAATAATCTTTCATTATAATTAAAGCTTAATTTGTGACAAAAATAACCAGAACAAGTATATCTAAACTTTTATTAAAAGTACTGTGAAACTGGAGTTTTGTCACATTATAATTAAACATATGATTTTATACACGTCAAGATTATGAAAGTAGCGTTTTTCTAAAAGTTCTTATTAGACTCACTATTCTATATAGAACTTCTAATAATTTCCTTTGACAAATTAAGTACTTATTATATATTATAACAGCCATATTATTAGTAAGCATTCATTGTAACTGTAATATGTTCTCAGAGCAATCATGCTGAACCTACGTACCCTGGTTCTTGCTACTGCCAAATTTGGAAGTAAGATTCAGAGCCTTAAAGCATGCAGACAACTTCGTTTCTCATCCACCTCCTATCCAACTTCAGTTTTCAGAACTGTTCATAGCTCTGAAGTTAAGCACCAAGGTCCAGTTGCTAAACCCAAGGAAGAGGAAAAGGTATACATATATATAACAGAACATTCATCTTATTTAAGGGAAGAGGTTACTTTGACCTCAGTCTATCTGAACCAAGAAACCACACATAAACAAGATTTCAAGTTCTCATAGTAGCAAGTATGAAGATGACTGTCTTCTGGGTTGTTGCAATGTGTAGTCTGCTAGAAATTTACTGATGTTTCAGAGGTGCTTGCTGTATCCTTTATCAGGGTAATTTTTGCCAAAAATCAAATAAAAGTTTTATGTAGCTTCATATACTAAATTACAGTATGTAACTAGTTTTACTGTAGAGTCATTATATATTAGTAGACTTCTCTATCATAAAATATCAGAGACTGGTGTCAAATTTTGCTATATTAAATATGAATGATTTTGAAACACTACTTCAAAGTTTTAAGCACAGAATTTCAGACAGGTCAGTTTAGGCAGATAGGATACTAGGATATATAACAAAACTCTGATTAAATTGACAACTTAATTTAACAACAGCCAGTGCTGGTAAACGCTATACGAGACGTTGATGGCAGCATGATCACTATTGGAACATCCACTGGAGAACAGCATCAGTATCCCAGTCTGTGGCTGCGAGACAACTGTCAATGTCCCAAATGCTTCAATACGGTCATGCAATCACGAACATTGGACTGGAAGTACTTTGATGTCAACATTAAGCCAACCCATATTATGGTAAGTAAGTTGTTGTGCATTCCAAGAGAGCTAATTCAGGGTCAAAATACAGATAAGTTACTCATATCCATTTCACATAAAGTGACCTGCAGATCAGGATCAGTATATACATATTTAGGTGTGGAAATGGATGGCAGTATCTGTCATTAACAGAATAAAATGTTCCAGTGGCTTTAACTGGCATTATGAATATATTCATAGTTTGTGCATTTATCCAGCAACATTACATATTTACATAAAAAATATTTATCAAACATAGCAGTCAAATAGTTAACATTACTGCTGTCTATTTTGGAGGTGCTGGGTTCAAATCTTGAGCCAGAGACCATTATTCTGGCGTGTTTGTTGTGGTCTTCCTAAGTATCTGCAGGCAAAAACTTGGACATGATTGCTTAAATCTACATACTTTACAATCAATTTATCTAGTCATCTTTTCATTCAACACTATCTAATCTAGGCAAATGGAATCACTGTTATTAAACAAAAGAAGAATAAATAGGAAATTTTACTCAAATATCGTTGTCTTGAATGCAAATAATAAGTAATTCATGTCACCCAGCAATTCATTTGTGGAGTCAACCAGCATATAGGAGAATCAAGTTGAGCCTTTAGAAAGAACAACCTCAGAAGCTACACAAATTTAAATAGAAAATTTTTGTATAATTTATGTAAATGCAGTTAATGAGGGAAGCACTTCATTTTCTCAGTTTATTGAAACTAGGGAGTACTTTATAACTAAAAAAAATATTATTTACAGCAGGATCTTCTATAAGGTACCCAAGAGCAGCACGTAACCTACATGAAGTTAGTTTAACTAATGGCATGACTATTTCTATTATAAAGGCTAAATGTATGGCAATAAAAGGTAGAGAAACAAATATATATAAGTAAATGAAAATAATTAATAACATGCAGTCATCTTATATTGTAAGGTACAGTCCTTCAGAATTTGTCCAGTGAAACTGAAAATTCATCCAGTAGATGGCTAATATGACTGGATGTGTGTGATTGTTCTGTTGACGTCACCCATCGTCTAAATGTTCTTTAATTAAACAACATTTTGGAAGTTGGTTCTAATTCAGTCTTGAGATACCTAGTGGAAGGACAAAATTCTGCTCTTTTGCACCCCTAGGTTAAGCTAGTTTCAACAGTGCAGCAAGGTCAAAGAAGATGGAAGTAGAACCAACTTCTGAAACATAATGGTTTTTAATAAAAAACACTTAGACAATTGTCAAGTCTAACAGAATTATTATACACATTGTCTCACACCATCATCAGAAACTTTTAAATTCTCTTACCATGACTGGGTTCTGTATCTTTCCATGATGTTACAGCCCTGAATGACAACTCCCATCCCAATGTAAACTATTTAACTCTTTATGTTTCCTTGTTAAAAAGATATCTGGTACTCTTACACACATGAAGTAGAAACTAAACACTGCACAAATCATCTAGTCACTGGTACTCCATAAAGAAGTCAAGAAAAATTTATTCATATTACATTTATATGTAAGAATAAATATAGTTCTAAATTATCATCTATGTTTATATGTAGGCAGAAGATAACCAACTGAAACTGGTGTGGAGTGATGATCATGAGAGTGACTATGACTTTAACTGGCTTCTGGAACGAAGTTTTGCAGAAAATGTGCGGAAAGACTGGTTGAAGCAGCACTATCCTATGATGAGGATTTCCTGGGACACTGCTAACTTCAACAAAATCCTCAATAAGTATAACTTCCACGATGTTCTCAACAGGTGAGTCCATAGTCAAACCATTGTCCAAGACTGTAGTATCTTGTTTAAAGTTCAAGGTTATTTCAAGGTCATTATAAGGACATGTGAATTCTTGCCAAACAGTAGGCCTGGAAGAGGCAAAGTTCGTGTGAATGTCTGATCATTGATAGCTCAAGTTAATTCCAAGGTCATGCCAAAGTCAGTCCAACGCCGTGCTTAAGACATCTGAAATTTCAAAGTCATTTCAAGATTTTAATTTATGCCGAAAAGCAGGCATGGTTAAGTCCAAGGTTATGTCAAGGTCATACCAAGGTCAAAGAAATTCATAAAAAAAACAGTTCAAAATCACGTCAATCAAATTGAAGGTCACAACATGTAAAGAAAGTGTTTAGGCAGAGCTGCATTAACTAACTAACTAACTATATGGCTTACCGAACCCGAAGGTTCATCACCGGCTTAACCAAAGCCCTCCACTGGACCCTGTCCTGGGCCAACAAAATCCAGTCTCCTTCAACTCCTATCTCCCATAGATACCGCCTGACATCTATGTCATCTCCCCAGCGGTCTCTTCCCCTCAGGCTTCCCAACAAATACCTGGTGCACACCTCTTGTCCCATCCACGCGTGCTACATGCCCTGCCCATCTCATTCTACTCAACTTAATCACCCTGACAATACTGGGGGAGGAGTATAAATTTTTAAATTTGTCATTACATTTGGTTAAGTTGGGTTAGGTTAGGTCAAGTTACATTGGGATTGGGTAGATTAGGTCAGATTGGGTTGGGTTAGCTCATCTCAAGATATGCCAAGTTACCTCCCACAACATCCCTGAAGACAGCCATAACATGAAATATGACAAAAGGATAAATGAGATTTCACGTTCTCATGGTAACGAGTATGAAGATATTTATTCTATTAGGATGAGCCCTTCTTTCAGTGACTGAGCATGTTAAGTCAGCAGAAGCAAGCCTGGCTTGTGTTCATGAGGTTCACCGAACCTTTGCTGGCGAGCTGGATATCTTGAGGGTTTTCATGGTTTCCCTTCAGTCCCTGAGAAAATTATGGAATAGTATATTAAAATACAATTTAAAATCAGTTAGCTATTGTTTCTGAAGTTCTCTACAAAAATTCTTTCACTAATTGGTACAAGTGAGAAAAAGATTTTATAGAAAGCTTATATGACACTACTATATATTTCAGTGAAACAACTTTACTAGACTTGCTGGAAAGTGTTGCAACATACGGAATTGCTGTTATTGACAATGCACCACCACAGGAAGATCAACTGAGAAAAATTGCTAACAAAGTCGGCTTCATCAAACGAACTCATTATGGGTGAGCAACTTATTTAAGCAAGTGAATAACAAGAATATAAAAAATGCATGCTTCTAGCATGGTATGTGATCCTTTCTTCTAACCATCATATTTCAGAAGTTGAACCCCTAAGTACCTCAGCACCAGGCATAGGGAATACACCGACTGCCCAATTTTCTTGGTATAATTCTTTTCTGCAGCATTACAGTACAGCAAATGTAAGAGAGTATTTTCCAAGGAACCCACTTTGGAACTTACCAATGAATAATTACACGAACACAAACCAAAATATAACAGATACAAATATTAATTGGTCAACAGCCCTAGTTAGTATTTGTGTTACGCTATTCACAGAGAGGAGTACATGGTGAAGCATCAGCCAGACACCAACAACCTGGCCTACACACCAGGAAACCTTCAAATGCACACTGACATGCCATATTATCACCACAAGCCAGGTGTAAGTAATAACAAAGCTGTACCACAAACACATTCTTGAGAGATTAAAAGCATGGGACATCTATATTTTCTAAATGTAAAAATAAAAGGACAGGATATGAGAGGATGATATCAGAATAATCTTCATTGTTGGGTTTTTAGATCGTGTCCATCGTTTGACATGAAACACACGTTTCGAGGACTGAATGTCCTCATCTTCAGGTGTAGTGAAGGGGGCACCCACTCTGTAGCATACATGAAAATATGCTATTCCCAATCACTGAACAACCTAGGTCAGCACCTGAGATCAGGTTATACCATGGGAGATAATAATAAGATTAACAATAAGAATTATAACAAGACATATGACTGGGTTAGCTCATTCTAACAGACCCCAACAGAGTAGGTGCCGCCTTCACTACCAGTCCTTGAAACACTGTTATAATCCAGACTGTATTACACCATCGTCAGAACCCTTCATAATCGATATTAGAACAATTTGGCAAACTGATATGAAAAGAGAGAATATTGTAAGAGGAAATCAAATTGCTTTCTGCATTGAATGTGAGGCTAAGCACAGTTTTACTGATGTAATCAGTTTAGGATACATACTTTCAAACTTCAGACATTTTGGAAGCAAAAGGGATGTTTCATAATCTTCAAACCCAATACAGGTGAAGATTTGCATTTCCAAATAAAGTGACACCAGAATAATCACATTTGATACGTTTGTTATAAAGGGAAATGTAACTGGTTCCATAAATCAAATTTTATGTGACAGTAACTGAGACAAAACACCGTGGAAACAGACGAGTGGCATATACAGTTAACATTTAAACCATAACAGTACATTAATTTAACACTTCAGGACTAGAGTGGACTGGCTCTCAGTAGAAATTTATAGTGAAAAACTGATATATAATTTGTCAGAAAATTTAAGTGATTTAACCTCTATGGCAAGGATGAAGGAAGTAACTTTGAGGTGACAGCATCAATAAAAATCTATGAAACACGTGTAATGTTCACAGATCAACATGCTGCACTGCCTCGTGCAGACAGAAGCTATTGGTGGTGACAACCAAGTTACAGATGCCCTGCACATAACTAAAAAGCTGAAGGAGGAGAAGCCTGAAGTTTACAGAGTGCTCACAGAAACTCCAGTTGACTGGTATGATATAGGGCAGGAGGGTGGATACACATTCCACAGCCTGTATAGGTCACCTGTCATACTGTAAGTACCTTTACCGGCTAGACAAACATTTTACTAGATCTTGCATACTGGTAGTTATATAAAATCATGCATACAGACAAAAACTGTTTACACTTTGAAAAGACACTTAGTGCCAAATGTGTTTCGACCTTAAGAGGTCATCATCAGTGGCAAACAAATTAATTCATATTAAATCATACAATTCTTAAGACGGTGGTTTGTTATAAAGCATAAAAGGTCGCACTTTATAAAACATACTTTATGCAGTAACATACTGGACGTTAATTGCACAGGAGTTGGTGTATTTTCTAAATTGAGCTACTTATCATTTTAAATCTAAAACTTCTTGACGATGGTGAAGAGTCAATTGAATAAAAATTTACTTGGATATTATCCATCGTCTAGTAATAAAACGTCCACTGCCCTAAATTGAGGTTTCCATTGTTGGTCTATCTGTGTTTGTGAACTTCAACATTGTGTGGGTATTACCCATGAAACGTTGAAGTTCACAGGAAAAGTTGTCTTTTCAAAGTGTAAACAGTTTTTGTTTGTATGCATCACTTTATATAACTACCAGTACACATGGTTCCTTTCGTTGTAACAGAATGAACACACCTGTTTTCAAAAATTATTTTGTTAAAACAGACAGAAAATAAAGAGCCATTAACAGCCTTTCTTAACAAAGTGGTAAGAAAACAGCATTGCCTGCCCATGTCCTCATGGCTTTCCTAAATTGCCGAACTTTAAAAACTGACACATATTAATCCTTATTTATTTTACAGAATATTTTTAGCAAAATGCTAAAGATCAGAGATAAAGAAAGAAAACTGCAACAACAGTCAGCAATGCAGGATTTGAGGTTTTCACAGCAGTGAATCTGAAGATGGCTGTCTTCTGCGTTTTTGTGCCATGCAGTCTGGTAAAAGTTTACAGACATTTCTGAGGTCCTTGCTGCCTCCATCATCAGTAACATGATGAGTAAGCCGTGCGAGTAGAAATGGTTAGTTATAGTTCTTCGACTGTCAGTGTCCTATAACTGTAACTGTTTCCACTTGTGTGGCTTACTCATCACCCTGATGATGGAGGCAGCAAGGACCTTTGAAACGTCGGTAAACTTCTACCACACTACATGGCACCACAACCCAGAAGACAGCCATCTTCAACTTACATGCAGATGACAAACTCAAGTACAAAATTTCACCAATTATCAGCACTTTTGATTCCAGTGGTTCATATACTACTTCATGTTGTTTCACATTAAAGATATCCTGATAATTAACAATAGTTTTTATCTCTTATAGTGACAGAAGGTATAAATTTAAAAATGATAATAAAAGTTACAATGCAAGTGCAAACATTGCGTTTTGAAGTTAAAAAGGGGCACCATTAGTAAATGATCCTGTAATTTGTTTATTATAACTTATGTTTTATGTTTCAGCTGCCATTCCTTGCCAACTTAAAATATCCATCCTCTTCAGGTATATTAATTCGCCAGAGTTAACATGAAGTTAATAGTACTTGCATGTTACAGCACCGACTCCAATGGAGAATTTTTACGTATTGACTACAGCCAGCAGCAGCGAGACACACACTTTACTGTGCCTCTTGATCAGGTCATTCCCTGGTATGAAGCACATGCAGCATTTACTGAGGAAATTTATAACCCTGAGAATACAGTTTACTTCAAACTCAAAGACGGTACGTCTCTCAATCACAAATACAAACACATAAGTAAATATTGTGAATTCATAACAATAAAGCTAAATTTAAATCCGAGCATGCTACAACACAACAAAATAAATTAAATAGTGCAAGGATATTTTATTCGATTTATATATGTTGCAAAGAAACTTGTTGGTAATAAGTATATAATATTCTTTTAGATTCATTATCCTCTGGATTTTTGTAGCTTTCCTCATCTCCCCTTACAAACAGTGAGTTAGTACCTTACAATAAAACCTAATAATTTCTTCAACATCATTCAATGATATTAATAAAGTCTTATTAACAGAGAAAGCAAAGAAGGCTCAAACTGAACCTTGATATTAACTAGAAAGACAATTTAGAACCAGACTGTAAAGAAGGAATGCTCAGGTGAAGCACAAACTGCAAGGTGCAGTTATTATACCACACTGGCTAAGTTTGTCAAATTCACAACTCAAGAGGAATAGATGTGAACATGGAATAACTAAATACATGGGCATAACATACAACTAAAATCTGGATAAAATCACTAACAAATCATTTGCCAATGTTTCAAAATGTAGATATCTGGAAAAAATAAAAGACAAAAATTAGATTTATGTTAAAATTAAAATTTATACATAATATATATATATATATATATATATATATATATATATATATAAATATAAATAAACAGTTTTTATGATTT